TTTCAACGAAAAATAATTATAAGCAATTAGTCTAATTAGTGTTGGACTTTAGGTACCTAATTTCGATTTTTTTGTTGTTGTTTTTTTTGGTAAGCAAAATCCGGTAGGCGCCGAAATCCGGATAAGGGGGCGTTTCAACTAAAAATCTTATTTTGAATTATTGTGATATATATTATTAGATTTAAAAAAATATGGCAACATATAGCAAGAGTGTGTTAGATGCCCTAACAGAAAGTAAGTTCAATTTTTTTTTTATTCTTAATAATAGTATTAATAACTTTTTAACTCCAAAAAATAATGATTAATGTAAAACCTTCATTGTTTTTTATGTAACATATTAAAAAAGATTAATGTTTAAGATTAAAACTGTTGGTATTCATTGAATAATTCATAGTCACAGTTTTAATTTTTTTAAACATAAAAAATTTTTTTTGTTAGGCTTACACTAATGCAGTATGTAATTTACTCATTTATATGTGGTTTATAATAGCCTATTAAAACTGATTGTCACTTGTTAGATTCAGTTGACAATTTATTAAAACATTACATATAAACAATTTTATTACATACTTCATTACGTTAATCTTAACAAAAAGCTTCTTATTGTTTTTAAAATATAACAAAAGATATCATTATTATTGTCTTTTATCATATTTGGATTATATACTTCTTTATCTATAGATTAGTGTTTAAATCATTATACAAGCATGTCTAATATTTATTTCTTGTTTAGATCCTGCCCAGCTTTTTGTTGATTTTTTGAGGTTTCGTAAGTATAAATCACATAAAGTTTAAATTTAATATTCACTAAGAGATAAAGTATACAATACGTAAATATTAATAAACATTTATAATATCTTCCTATCTATAGTAAGTCTTAAAAAAACTAGAGTTAATTTTTTTACTTATTGTATATCATCTTTTTATGTGTTTATTGTTTACATAAGTTTATAACCATTCCTAATGTTAACTTGTTGCTTATAAATATATTATCTTTATATTTTAATAGTTATATTTAGTTGTTTATTTTCTTTTTTTTAGTATAGTTGTTGCATCTTAAGTAGAAAATCTTTTAACTTTAGTACAGCTTTTAACATTTGTAACTTACTGTTGACAATTTTAAATTATTTTGTGCACAAAGTTTTTGTTATTTTTAGTCGAATCTACACAGCCCATCACTGGTAAGATTTTATCAGTTTGTATATGCTAATGATTATAGAATTAGCTAGTACTTTTTATTCTGTAAATAAATTTGAAAGATTACCCATTTCAAAGTCTTTGTTTGCAATATTTGTTTCTTATTACAAATTATGAATTTAAGTTACATCTTTGACTTCAACAAATGGTAAATTTAACAATTATTACTTTTTAATATGTGTATATATTTTTGATGACTGCAGTATAAATTTTTTATTAAATAATTCTTAACCTTAGTTCCTTCTACATCTGCTATAAGGGGTATGTTAACTAATTTTTACTTTTCAAAATGTTTATACATATCTTGGCAATTTCAGTAATTATTTTTAATTACAACTTTGATAATATTTAGTTACATCTTCAGCACCTACTATAACTAGTAAGTTTATAAACTATTATTTGCAAATGTTTACTCTCCTTTCTTATCAATTGCAAATTTTTATAGAAACTTTTTTTATTTTTAGTTCCATGTGTTCAACCTCCTGCTGGTAAATATATGATTTAAAAATGTTTTTAAATGAATTTTTAATTTATGTTTATACTTATATACACTATTTAATGCATTAGTATTGTGTTATCCCTCAAAGTGCAGTAAAATAAAATTATTACTCTCATGAACATTTTTTACGCTATCATAGATTAATACGTTGTTTGTGTTATTTATTAAGCCTATCACTTTTACAATTAATTGTTTTATATTACATTTTAAAGCAGCACAAAATTGACTACTGTTACATTTGTAACTACATTAACATTTGTTGACAATTTCAAATTATTTTGTGTACAATTTTTTTTTTTATTTTTAGTCGAATCTACACAGCCTATCACAGGTGAGTTTGTATTAGTTTGTATATGCTAATAATTATAGAATCATCTAGTACTTTTTGATCTGTGAACAGATTTCAAAGATTACCAGTTTCAAAGTCATTATTTGCAATATTTATTTTTTATTACAAATTTTGAATTTTAGCTACATTTACGTGTTCAACGAATGGTAAGTTTAACAATTATTACTTCTTAATATGTGTATATATATTCCTGATGAATGCAATAAAAATTTTTTATTAAATCATTTTTAACCTTAGTTCTTTCTACATCTGCTATTTGTGGTATGTTTACAAGTTTCTACTTTTTAATATGTTTATGCATATCTTGGCAATTACAGTATTTATTTTTAATCACAACTTTGATAATCTTTAGTTACATCTTCTGCGGCTTTTATGACTCGTAAGTTTAAAAACTATTATTTGCAAACATTTACACACCTTTCTTATCAATTGCAAATTTTTATAGAAACTTTTTTTATCTTTAGTTCCAGGTATTCAACCTTCTGCTGGTAAATTTATGATTTAAAAATGTTTCTTAATGATTATTGAATTTATGTTTATATTTATATACACTATTTAATGCATTAGTATTGTGTTATCCCTCAAAGTGCAGCAGAATGAAATTATTACTCTCATTAATATTGTTTAAGTTATAATTGATTAATACGTTGTTCATATTATTTATTCAGCCTATCACTTTTTCAATTAATTGTTTTATATTAAATTTTACATAATGCCATTCAGTACTAATCTATTAACAAATCATTGTCATTTAGAGCTAACCTATCAAGACTACTTTATTGACATTTTTTGCAAGTTTAAATGAGAAGGGGAGGGGGGCGTTAGGTGTAGCACACATTCCTACCTGTACTAACATATTATAATAATCTTGAATACTTGTTTCTCTTTTCCAATAAACTTAATTTAAAACTATTTTTCAAATATCTTTTAAAATTTTTTTTTTTAGTTGGATACGACTGGGCAGGAAAATGGGGCGTTTGGCGTGGCATATGTCCCGTCCCTTATGTCAACTTATACACCACTTGTATATGCTGTAAAGTAAGAAAATTTAATTTAAAATTTTTCATACAAAATATAATCATTGTTTTTTAGGTTCAAATATTTATAACAATGTAGCATTTCACTACGAGGGTGTTAAAACGTAACAAAGACATCAACACTTCAATCTAAAATAGACCACTAATATTTGGAAATGGATTGGAAGCAAATTGGAACAATTTTTTGTGTATAAAGATGACATATTTTATCAGAAAAACACTCTTTCGTGTGAAAAACATGTCTTTTTTTAAGGGTACGAGGGTGTTCCGGTACCCCCTCCGGTCCTCTAGACGCCCCTTTCATCTATAGAGTTATATGAACTTGTAGCCTACTCTTACATCTATCTTTTGATGCCAAGGTATAGACATTTGGATAAGATTTGACAAAGTTATAACAATTTTAGTGGGAAAAAAAAAAATTTTGGAACCAGTTTCTTCGATAAATCCATATATCGAAAATTTGCTACTAAAAACGCTATAACTTTTTATAGAATTGTCCGATTTTCATAATTTTTTCACCATTAAAATACTGTATTAAAGGGCTTTCTAATGATATATAATATTCTAGTATTTAATTAATTTAAAAAAATCAGTTGACGCACCTACATACATACACACAAATACACTTATACATACACACATACTCATACACACACACGCACATATATATATATATATATATATATATATATATATATATATATATATATATATATATATATATATATATATATATATAATATATATATATATATATATATATATATATATATATATATATATATATATATATATATATATATATATATATATATATATATATATATACATAAAATATACATAAATAAATGAAATATAATATATGTAAATAAATATAATTATATAAGTGACTTATATTTATTTTAATTTAGTAAAAAAATTAAGTGAAAATCTTACTCAATAATTGAATAGAGAATAATAAAAGATAAATAATAAACTAATAAAAATAAATCCTACTCGCTACATCTTGGCAAAAATTATTTTCATTCATTTTGATGTTAAGAATATAAAGTGAACTCGTTTTAAATTCAAAAAAGTTACTTTTAATTCACGAGGTCATTAACATTTGTAAAACGCATGCGCTAAACTTGTGACGCGCTTTCTAGGTAGGCGTTTTTAAAAAAATTATAAATGTACTTGTGCCGGATTTACAATAAGGTATACTAGGCCATGGCCATTGGGCACCCACAAAAATTGAATTACAATAAATTTCTTTAAAGATGTTTTTTTTTTTTCATTAGAAAGTAATAGCGTTTTTTAATTACTTTTGTTTTTATTTTAAAATTTTCAAATAGTGTTAACGTATGAATATTTATTAAATGTTCTTATTAAAATTTAAAAACAAACACCTAGTCTAAGAGAAACATTTGTTAGCTTTAATGATCTATCAAATCGATAATTTTATTTGAGGTTTATTTTTTGACATAATTTTTTTTATAATAATAGTTAAGTTCAACTAAAGCCTTCTTAAATATTTTTATTTTAGTAGGCTTTGGTTCAGCGTATCAAACAAAGAAAATAAATGAGACTTTTAGCAAATTCGGCTTTGGCCTGGCTAGTCATTATATAGTGTACTATGCCATTGTCTACTACCATAAAAAACAAAAAGAATGATGGGAATGCTAAAGTAAACTTTTTCTCAAATTGATTTTCATACGCTCAGGTTATTGTATATTACAACTGTTCAATTTCTTTTTGAATTTGAAATGCTAATTTGGTCTCCTTAATTCAAAGATAAAATTAAAACTCTAGAATTAGTAAAATAAAACGCAACTAGAATTTATTAAAAATTGGTTAAATTTAATGTATGACAATATATGAAAGTGTAGAAAATAGGGCATTTTGTTCAGGTTTATAAAAGTCTAAAAGTAGTTTAGAAGAATTTTAAGTAAAAAATTAATTTGAGTCAAAAATGTTTAAATCCCAAATAATAACAGAAACAACATTAAATATGACTTGAAAATGATAAAATATCCACCTGAACGAAAATTCTGATTAAACAGAGTTGCTACGGTTTGAAATATAGTAACTAACAATTATCAGAAGCATAAAATATTTTTAAAGCCTTATCTATGGCTATTAAAAATTCAAAGCTTAAATAAAGTTAATAATAAAGTTACAGTGAGTTCAATCCAATTTGTTGGTTTTAAAACCAGTCACAGTTTATTACAAGTAAATTTCTATATTAAACTAACTATATACTTTTCTTGTGATCAAGTATAAAGACTGTACACTTGATACTTTATAAAAGTAAATACAGCCAGGCAGCAAGAAACCAAAGACTTATGATACAACATAATTTATGGTTTTTGTACAAAAAGAACAAAAAGCATGAAATAATATTATTTCATTAACAGACTTTCTAATGTGAAACTTTTTTTTCCACCAATAATTAGCAATGTAGCTTTAAATATTACAAGCGGTCTTAACACATCTAAGGATATTTTCTCTGAGTTTTAATTTAACAACTTAATCAAACCTAATGAATCAATATTATTTAAATAACTGCATACTTTCTGCAAAATTGATTGATAAGCATTATATTTTATTATACACAAAAAAATAACTATTACAAGTATTTAAATGCATATTGAACAAGATTAAAGTAACTATTATTTGTAAAAATACTTAATATGATAAAATTTTAAATCAAATTTTAAATGAATTACTTTTAGATTGTATACACTGATATCTATAATGTTATATTATATTATTATAGATGAGTGATTGCGTAGAATATACAAAATGCGTTAATGTCTTTGACACATACACGCACGCCTGTGTGACACTTACACTACGCGTTAGCGACAAATGCATACATTACGTGTGTAAGATACATGTATAAACACACACATGTATATACACGTGCTTGTATGTGCACTCATCACCAATATAATTAAATACACGCGCATTCATCACCAATATAATTTGGCAATTGATGATTTTTTTCATTCATTTACTAAAACATACACTTTGAATGTACATGACATGATTCTCACCACACATCAAACCATTCAAAAATTTAAACTGTATTAAGAAGAGATTGAGGGATTATTGCACAACTAGATATTTGACGGAATTATCAGTCATATATGTGTTAATAAGTCATATATGTGTTGACAAAATTATAAGTCATATATAAATATAGTTAATAAAGCTTATAATGCAAGTATTATATAATTTTTTTTTTTTTTTTATGATATAGATCATGTATATCAAAAATTAAAAATTTGTTTAATATTTTTTTTTTTTTGTGTGGATTTGTTGAACTTGTTATTATAAAAAAACACATCTAGTAACAAAAAAATTAACTGTTTTATAAAGATAAGAATTGAAAACTTTAGTTCAAAAACAACCTCAGTCAAAGTTGTTATGATATCAGATAGTTACGCCGTCTTATAAAGGAATTCGAAGGCTTTTCAATTAGATTCCAAAAATTTTTAAAGGCAAATATAGTGATGAGATATTTGACAAGTATAGTGATGAGATATTCATTGTTGAAAAGGAGTTAAATATTTGGATGTGAAGAAGTTGTTTTATTCTACTGAAAAAATAACTATCTTGATAAAGCACTGATGGCCTCAAAAACCACCAGGTTTTATGTCGTTTCACTCAAATGAAACGCTTTTTTATTCAAGAGTATTTGTCTTGTAACAATAGAAAAAAGCTGTTGTTTTTATGCGATCAAAGTGCCAGCTGAAACAAAAAGGCGAAACTATTGGGTCTTAATCCATTTATTCATTTTAAATGCACTTAAAAAACTTGTTTTTTTAATTAAGAGTACTTGTTCCATAAAAAAATGAAAAGAGTGTTTATAAAATTGGAAAAAAAATAATAACAAATGAGTCAAAGTGTAAAAATGAGGGAGTCTCAGACTGTTTAAGCATTTTAGGTTACAAAAATAAATATTTAAATTAAAATTTAAATAATTTAAAAAAATTTAAAACAGCAAAAACATATAAAATATCTGTAATAGTAATGTATATATGGTACATAATACAACAAAAATTAAATAACTTTTTATCATACTTTAAGGTGGTGCAACACCAAAAAAACTAGAAAACTAAAAATTTTTTTGCAGAGTAGCAGAGTTGCATTCAGAGTAGCAAAAATTTTTTGCAGAGGTAGCAGAGTTAAAAATAAATTAAACTCTTCTTTCATTAAAAGTAACTTACAGAGTTGCTCTTGATGTTAAGTATATTCTTCTACATGATTAAATCAAAATCCAGGGTTCAAAGAGAGCTCTTGACATATTTCGCGCGACTGAATTTGCACAAATCAAATTGTATTCTTAAAAGTATCAAGATCCGATCAAAAAAACTGTTAATTTCCCAATAGAAATAGTTAATAAAATTATTGTGGTTAGCGAGCATTACTCGTAACCATAATATCTATACCTTTCTTGCATTCAGGTATCCAGATCCGGCTCGCGGGCATTTTTTAGTAAGTGCAAAAAAAAAAAAAAAAAAACTGCTGCCTTAATTTTTAATTAATCTTTTAAAATATTAGAGAACAATCGGCTTAAATGAATGAAATTTTCATCTTCATGGTGTTGATCGGGGAAAATTTTCCGGAAGGTACGAGCGTATTTGATTAAGCGTTTCCCATACACGTGCAAACTTTAAAACAATTTAGATTAATATTAAAAGGTATTTATTATGAATATATTAAATCTTAAGTTTACATCTACATAAAATAAAACAATTTTTTTTTAATTTAAACGAGCATTAGATAATAGACACTTAAATTTTGCAAAAATAGAAAACTTTAAAAATAAAAATATTTAACAGCCAATAAAATAATTTATATTTCAAATGATTAAGCTTAATCATTCAATCAATGGCGGATTGAGGTTTAGTGTCGTTAGGGGGCCAAAGGAATGTGTAGGGGGCGACAAGGTTAGGATTGACATATTGACTCCTAAAACATTTTTTTTTCAAGAATCGCGCTTTTGATAAATACATTTTATCGATGCTTTTATGTGTTACCATGTGATAGTTGATTTTAAACAATTTGGTTTTCAACATTTTGGTTTTTAACCATTTTGATGGTTAAAAACTGAGTTGTTGAAAATCATTGCAATGGTTTGGTTTTATAAATATATTTACTCTATGTTTACTATTAAAAGCACGCATTAAGAAAAAAATTTACTTTTCTGCTAAAGATTTCATTTTTGGCAGGTATATAACGTTCGTTGG